CCCAGGTGGGGGAACCTCGTCGACGTAGGTGCGTGTGGACTTCCAGGAAGCCATCTCTGCGTCCATGGCTGACTGCCACTATGAGGAGTCGGGACCCTCGATCGCCTCAGCGTACGATCGAGGAGTCGGGATGTCTGGTGCATCCGAATCTCCCTTAGGGGCAATCAGCATGGACACGAGATGGGGCAACGCAGCAGCAAAACACTGGAACTCCTCCTGCCTGTCCTCAAGGACGTCTGTGCTAAGAGCACACTCACCCCCGACGGACGGAGGACAGACAGACTCAGACTCAGCAACAAGACTAGCAGCGTAGTCTAGACGACAGCGAGCAGCAAAGTCGACAAGCTAAGCAACTAAGGCAGACGCAGCTGTGGACTCAAAGGAAGGGTCAGTGACAATAGTCGCAAGAAGGCGCATGACCGAAGGACTAGCAGCACGAAGGGAGTCAAACTCCGGGTCACCAAGAGAAGGAAGAGAGGACTCTTGAGGAGACGGCAACGAGACACGCAAAGGAGCAGTGGAAGGACGCAGTGCCATCTGGTGTGTGCCGGGGACCGCAGGAGGACGCGGACGCGCAGTACGACCACTAGTGCGAGCAGTACGAACAGGCAACGCAGGACGAGACGCAGGCTCACGACGCTCAGCAAGACCTCCAGTAGGACCAGTGTAGGGAGAAGGAGCAGGTAGAGGGGAGGCGAGCTATAACTCTGACTGCGACTGGACAGGCTATGGACACTCTAAGGGAGGAGCAGGACGAGTAGAGGGCGGGAGACCAAGAACATGCTCGAGGAGCGGAACGAAGTACGGCCTCGGCCGCGCAGCGCCTCCAGAACCAGCAAGGACAGCACCAGTACCCCCAGCGGCAGCACCAGCGCCAGCAGCACCTCCAGCTCCACCAGCGCCAACTCCAGCACCCTCAGAAGCACCACCGCCAGCAGCACCACCAGCGCCAACACCCCCAGCAGCTCCAGCTCCAGTAGCACCAACTCCGGTAGGACCGTCAGCTCCAGCAGCCTCAGCAACACCCCCAGGCGCACCGGCGCCAGGAGAAACACCAGTGCCAACACCCCCAGCAGCTCCAGCTCCAGCAGCACTAGTACCACCAGCAGCTCCAGCAGGACCAACTCCAGTAGCCCCAGCAGCACCCCCAGTCTCAGCAGCACGTCTCCAGCGGCGAGCAAACCACTCGCGCAGCTCCTGTGGAGAGAGTGGCTCCCGCCTTGATGAAGCACCGCCGGCGACCACACGAGCATACCCAGCGCCCCCAGGCTTGGCACTCCCACGCACCGCACCTCCAGGCTCCGCACCCCCAGACCTAGCACCCACGAGCTCAGCACCCCCAGACTGAGCTCCCCCAGTCTCAGCACCCCCTGACTCCGCACACCCAGGCCCAGCACCCCCAGTCTCAGCACCCCAAGACCCGGCACCCGCAGGCTCAGCACCTCTAGCAGCACCACAGTCAACAGCTGCCTCGACAGGCTCAACTCCGTCTACCTCGCACACACCTGACGGGGCCGGACCCTGAGGGGGGAGGGGGTCTACCGGGGGGGGAACTGGTGCAAGGAAGAGCGGCGGCGGGGGGAGAGGCGCAGTGCGGTAGGGGAAGAGACGGTAGTAAGGCACCGACTCGTCAAAGGTGACGTCCTAGGAGGACAAAACACGCCGCGAGGTGGGTTGGTAATACTGCCACCCAGGCTCCTCAGGGGGGAAGCCAAGGAAGACGCAGGGAACAGCACGGGGGGACAACTTGTTCGCAGACAAGTCGCAGACAAACGCGTGAGATCCTCAGACCCGAAACGCAGACGCATCGCCAACCTTCCTGGTCCACCGCAAGGCGGGGGAGGTCTCAGGCAAGGAGACCCGGGGCTGAAGGTTGAGCTGATGCGCGGCGTAATGAACTGCAAACGGCCACAAAAAATGGGGGGCAGCCGCATGCATCATGGACGTACGAGCGACGTCCATGACCATGCCTATGCTGTGGAGAGGCCGGAAGCGTGAAGGTCTGGTGGATGCCCTGTGCACAAAAGAAGGCTCCCAGACGGGCAGAGGAAAACTCCCCGCCTGTGTCCGAGTGCAGTCGTAGAACAGGAAAGTCCGAGCCGAAACTCTCTCTGGGCTGGAGACGAGCTGCGCGGATCCAGTCGATCAACACCTCAGTGACGTCACCCTTGCTGCGCAAGGGGAAGAGTGTGGTGTAACGCGAGTAGTCGTCAACCACCAGCAGGAAGTACCGCTCGCTCCCCTGCCCACTAACGCGGGCTGGGCCCCACACGTCAATGTGGAGAGTCTGCACCGGAGCCTCTGTCGGAGGAAACTCGGAGGAGTGAGGGGCGGCGCGCTGTCGCCCCTCGACGCAGGGGACGCAGGTAGGGCCAGGCCCCGGAGGTAGAGGAGGGAGAGACTGAGGGAGACGAGAGGACACGGAAGGCCATGCCTCGGAGACGAGGCAGGGAGGGGTGACCAAGGCCAAAGGAGAGTTTGGTGGGACAGCAGACGACACGAGCAGGGGGCAGACTCAGGACCAAACCTGGACGCTCCAGCAAACACCTGACTCGACGCAGCTACCTGGCCAGACTCAGCAGCCGGAGGAGACTCAGTAGTAAGGGTGTACAGGCTCGACCCTGGCCGACGGGTGAACGTGGCCAAGTGTCGTCCTGTCCGAGCACAAGTGCAGTGGGTCACCCGCTGATTCGCAAGAGTGAACTGGTCAACCCCCCTATCCTATAGTCCGCTCCACTCACCAAGTTCGTAGAGAACGAGGGGAAGTAGAGACTTGACAGGGTGCCAGAGGGGGCTGCCGGGCACAGTAAGACAGTGGAGAAGCTAGTAAGGACAGGACCCCAAGAGGGGTCTGCTAGGGAGACTGCCACCGGCCGACTGAGTGGCGTAAGAGTGGTGCGGTCTCAAAAGAAGGAGCAGGACGCACCCGAGTCAAGGGTGAAGGTGTGGAAGGCATGAGCCGACGTAGTACCTGAGAGAGCAGACTCACCAGCACCTGGGGCAGTAGACGCATTGGCACCTGGGGCAGCAGATGCACTTGCACCTGGGGCAGCAGACGCACTAGCACCTAGAGCACCAGCCTCACTTGTACCTAGAGCAGTGGCCTCAACGCCTGGGTCAGGCGGTACACACAAGTAACAGTCACCCTCAACACTAGTAGTAATAGAATAGATGGCAGCAAGGATAGCATCATAGTCAAGATCAAAGACGGCAATCCCCGCCCTAGACAGATCTCCCCAGCGAGGGATCTCTGTCGCCTCAGGGAACTGGCAACGCCACGCGTCCGTCAGGCGACCGAAGCAGCGCTGGGTGGAGTGCGGGCCTCCGCACTGCTCACCAACTCGGTCGCCGGTACAGAGGACGTAAGTGCAGTGACCAAAACCCCCACCGCGCTGACGCTCGGTGTACCACTCACGAAGCTGCTGAGGGGACAAGGTCACACCACTCCGCTGCTGCTGGCGCGGACCACCACCTGAGCCACTCCTCTGCGCAGAGTCGCGACCCGCTCCACCACCGCCGCCTCCGCCGCCTCCTCCACCTCCGCCACCTCCGCCGCCTCCGCTCCCTCCGCCGCCTCCGCTCCCTTCGCCACCACCACCGCTTCTGCCGCCTCCACTGCTGCCACCGCCGCCGGCACCCCCGGTACCACTCCCACCACCACCCCCACTCCCTCCACTGCCTCCACCACCACCTTCACCGCCCCCTCCAGCCCCTCCAGCGCCCTTGCCCACCTTGCCCTTGCCGGTGCGGCGTCTCCCGCTCGGGGCAGACGCAGCGCCGACCGACTCGAAGCCAACGAGGTCGGCCGCAGCAGAAGAGGCAACAGAGGGCAAGAGGGGGGAGGGAGAACACCCCTCAAAGACGGGGGTGCGAGGGTCACCACGAGAGGCTTCTACAGCGACGATGCTCTTCTCTGCTGCTAGGAGGGCCTTCTCGAGGAGGTCAACGGTGAGAGTGGTGGGGAAAACTGACTACGCGGAGAGAGTCAGGGAGCCGGGTGACTATGTAGTAGAGGGTGATGTACATGGGGGCAGGGGTTCTTGGCGCAGAACTCAGCAGGAAGCGCAGCGCGGTAGCGAGTGTCACTAGTGCGGAGGTGCGTAATGAGGTCAGCGACAGTGGGAAAGGCATCAAGGTCAGGGAAGAGGTACGGTAGCATGAGGCGGCTCAGTGCAGCAGTGGCAGGGGAAGAGTAGCGTGCAACTACAGCATTGTACAAGGTCTAAGTACTCTTGTACTGGCTAAAGTGTGCGCGCTCAGTGGTCGGTAAGTGGGGGCGCACAGCAAGGCGAGCAGCAGCATCACGCGTGGCCCACTGTGAGCGAACAGTGGCGTCAGCATCCCTCCCTCCCTCCCTCCCTCCCTCCCTCCCTCCCTCCCTCCCTCCCTCCCTCCCTCCCTCCCTCCCTCCCTCGCTCCCTTGCTCCCTCCCTCCCTCCCTCCCTCCCTCCCTCCCTCCCTCCCTCCCTCCCTTTCTCCCTCCCTCCCTCCCTCCCTTTCTCCCTCCCTCCCTCCCTCCCTCCCTCCCTCCCTCCCTCTCTCCACCCTCCCTCGCACTCACTCCACCACTTCGTTCTCCACCCGCCCTCCTCTCCCCCACGTATGAAGCAGGGCCAGCGATCCAGTGCAAGGACGCTACTAGTAATTCCAGCCCTTGTCTGCCGGGCCTCTGCCGCACCATGGGCTCTTTCTTCCCGGGCTGCGACTGCCCCTAAGGCTTCTTCCAAACCGCCACCGCTGACCTCTGGCCCTACTGCGCTCCCCGTAAACACTCACCTCCGCCCTTCATTCGATCATGCCTGATTAGAGTCGAGGGTTGCGCGTCTCTCACACCTCCACGCGTGCAGTGCAAGCAGCACATAGAGAGAGTGCGGTTGTGGATGCATGCTTAGGGTTTGCTCTCACACCGCCTACGCTACCGGCTTGCAAGAGCGGCCAAGCCAGAGTCAGCCCTGCGAGGTGTGATGAGCGTAATAGCTGCCGGTATTCTCAAGGGGAAGTTAATGTGCTGATTTGCTGATGATGGTGAGGCCCTGCTCATCGTAACACTCTGTTTGGATGCTCCTGGTGACGCTGCTGCTGCAAAAGCGTGCACGCTGGGTGAAGTGTGTGGGTGTGGTGTATGCCGTGGTGACACAAAGGCATAAGGCGGAAGCAAGAACCATAAGGTTCCACCGCTGGAATGGCGTACATGAGCGACTGCGTGTGCATGTCTCTTCCCTTCCCTTACATGAGAAGCGCCATGAATCTTGAAGCCCCTGTGCTTCTTCCCTTGCCCGTGTGTCATTGCCTCTTCCTCGGGTTTCCATTGTGCAGGTGTTTCGTCACCACCACCCACCCTGTCCTTCCCACCATCAGGACCACCACCACAGTCACCGTCGCCACCAGCACAACCATCAACACCACCATCAGCACCACCATTAGCACCACCATCAGTACCACCATCAGCACCATCACGACGACCACCACTGTCACCGTCGCCACCAGCACCGCCATCAGCACCACCATCAGCACCACCATCATCACCATCACGACCACCACCATTGTCACTGTCGCCACCAGCATCGCCACCAGCACCGCCATCAGCACCACCATCAGCACCACCATCATCACCATCACGACCACCACCACTGTCACCGTCGCCACCAGCACAACCACCAGCACCACCATCAGCAACACCATCAGCACCACCATCATCACCATCATGACCACCACCACTGTCACCGTCGCCACCAGCACCGCCATCAGCACCACCATTAGCACCACCATCAGCACCGCCATCAGCACCACCATCAGCACCACCATCAGCACCACCATCAGTACCACCATCAGCACCATCACGACCACCACCACTGTCACCGTCGCCACCAGCACCGCCATCAGCACCGCCATCAGCACCACCATCAGCACCATCACGACCACCACCACTGTCACCGTCGCCACCAGCACCGCCATCAGCACCACCATCAGCACCGTTATCAGCACCACCATCAGCACCGCCATCAGCACCACCATCAGCACCACCATCAGCACCAGCATCAGCATCATCAGCACCAGCATCAGCACCTGCATCAGCACCATCAGCACCAGCATCAGCACCAGCATCAGCACCATCAGCACCAGCATCAGCACCAGCAACAGCACCATCAGCACCAGCATCAGCATCAGCACCAGCAACAGCACCATCAGCACCAGCATCAGCACCATCAGCACCAGCATCAGCACCAGCATCAGCACCACCAAGTTCAAAGTCAGGCACACGAGGCACCTCCTCTCAGCCAACCCCGGAAGGCCAGCCACCCTCTGCAGACGAGTGACTCACGCCTCCTGCAACACCACCATTCCAGTGCTTCCATGCCGGTGCACCACGTGCCCATCATTCGTGGACTCTCAACCATAAGCAATGTGTTGCCACTGCCTCGTGCACGCTATAACATTCCCGCTCGCTTGGCTCCGTCCCATTTTTTTGGCCCCTGCGTGCTCTTCACTCTTCACAGATTCATCGCCAGGGATGTCACCAGGGATTATAGCAGCAATTGTGGTCGGCATTGTTTGTCTTGTGCTGCTAGTTTTCCTGGTCGGTTTCTTTGTGTGGCGACGCCAGCAGCGCAAGGAGCATCATCATCACGAGACTGCAGCGGTGCAACAGGCATTAAAGGCAGGCGGACGGGACGATGATGAGGAGGAGGGTCGACCAGGTATGATGACAGATAAGCTTCTGATATGCTTCGTTGACGAGTCTGAAGCCTATTCTCTTGCTGAATTTCTACCTTACATTTCTGCTTCCCTCAAAACATCCTCCCAACACCTCTGCTTGCACTTCGACATCTTTGTAGCCTCTCTTTCCCCATGGCCCCCGTTCTCCCCGGTCCCCCCTCCTCCCCGCCTCCCCGGAGCACCAGCCCCAGCAGCAGCACGTGGGCCGGTGGTGTGTCGGGAGCTGCCGTATTGGGAGGTGGTGGAGGCAACGAACGAGTGGTCGGCAGGCAACCTGATCGGGCAAGGGGGCTACGGTGACGTGTACCGGGGAGTGGCACCGTCGGATGGCACCGTGTGGGCTGTGAAGCGCGCCCGCGTCATCACCAAGGGAGGATGGGCGATGACACGACACGCATTCTGGGAACACCGGGCTATGTGGACCCCGCATACTCCAAGTCGCGCAAAGCTGCCCCCACCAACGACGTGTACAGGTGGGCCGCGCCTGCTGCCACCGTGCCTCGTGGAACGCTCATGGCCGGCGGTACAGTGGCTGGTGGTGTTCTGTGCTGGTACCAGTGAGTGCGAATCTCGTAGACTCCTATATTCAAGTGCCATTTAAGTGGTGCTTAGGTGGTGCTGGCACTTTGGGTCTTTCTAGTGGATGGATCTTAATTCCATGCTGCGCCCTGTCCACTGGGTCTTCCTGCCATGTCGATCACGATGTTCTCCTTAATGATGCGTTTTCTGCTTCGTGCCTTTCCATGCTGCAATGTCAGGGCTGAAACATACACCTCACCAGCCTATGCAACCCATGCTGCACCTTCCACTCTCTTTGTAGCACCGCATCTTATGTCATTGGCGAGTGTTGTGCATCCACTGGCATGTTGACATGTATGCATGCTGTGTGTGGCATGGGTGGGAATCGGGTGTGCATACTGTGTGGCATGAGCAACTATGGCATAGTCATGTTGGAACTCTTCACATCCCAGAGGGCAATCCTGCAGGAGGGAGACCACAACATCAACATCAGGCAATGGGTAATCTGTGCACTTTGCACTAGCCTTGGGCACGTCAATCCGAGTCTTTTTCCGCCCATTACGCCAATATCAATCCCCTTCTTCAGAAGATCAACCCAGCGGGGCAGCTCAGTGGCCTGAGGGAACTAAACACGCCAAGCAACGTTCAGACGAGCGAAGCAACGCTGTGTGGCGTGCGGTCCCCCACACGGCTGGCCAGTGCGGTCACCAGTGCGAATGACGTACGTGCAGCTAAGGCCACCCCCCCCCCCCCCCCCCCCCCCCCGTGCTGAGAGTACCACTCACGGACCTCCTGGGGCGACGGAGTGTGCTGCTGGCCCTGGCCACCGCCAGTGCCTCCACGACCACCACCGCCGCTACCACCTCCTCGACCACCCCAACCCCGGCCGCTGCCTCGTCCACTGCCACCCCCACCACCTCCTCCGCCCCGGCCACCTCCCCCGCGGCTGCCGCCACCCCCCCCACCACCACCACCTCCCCCACCACCGCCTCCCCCACTGTCACCGCCACCGCCCTTGCCCCCTTTGCCCTTGCCGATGCGGCGCCCACTCGAAGCAGACGCAGTCCCGACCTTCTCAGCACCAAGGAGGTCGACAGCAGCAGCAAAGGCGATAGAGGGAAGAAGGGGGGAGGGAGAACACCCCTCAAAGAACGGGGTACGGGGGTCACCGCGAGAGGCACCTACAGCGACTATGCTAGCCTCAGCTGCAAGGAGTTCCTTCTCGAGGAGGGCAATGGTGAGCTCGGTGGGGCAGCGAGCTAGGAAGTGGTCCCTGACCGAGCGCAGAGTGTCAGGGAGGCGCGTGACTAGGTGGTAGAGAGTGAGCCAGAGCGGGGGTGGGTTCTTGGCAAGGAACTCATCAGGCATAGTGGCGCGGAAGCGAGCCTCACTAGTGCGGAGGTGGGTAATGAGATCAGCGACAGTGTGGAAGGAAGCTAAGTCGGGGAATAGGTAGGGAAGAGAGAGACGGCCTAGAGCGGCAGAGGCCGGTGAGGAGTAGCGGGCAACGACAGCAGTGTACACTGCCTGGGCAGTCTTGTGCTGCCCAAAGTGCTCGCGCTCATCTATCGGCAGAGAGTTGCGAATAGCGAAGCGAGCATGGGCGTCACGAGTCTGCCACTGTGAGCGGGCAGTGCTGTCAGCAGTAGCAGCAGGAGCAGTAGCGTGGCCTAAGGCGTGATCGTACAGCGAGATGTAGGAGGGCTAGCCATGGTAGCAGCAGTAGGAAAAGCAGTAGGAGCAGTAGGGTAGGTAGGGCAGCGCGGCTCGGTACAGGTAGGGCGGCGCGGCTCGGTATAGGTAGGGCGGCGCGGCTCGGGTCGGGCGGCGCGGCTCGGTTCGGGCGGCTCGGTTCGGGCGGCTCGGGTCGGGCGGCTCGGTACGTTAGGGCTGGGCGGCTTGGGTCGGCTCGGTTCGGGCTGCTCGGTTCGGGCGGCTCGTTCTGGGTGGGGCCGTTCGGGGCCGCTAAGGGCGAGCGCGGGGAGCGGGTGGGGCCGTTAGGGACGAGCGGGTGGCCGACGTGGGCGCTAAGGGCGAGCGCGGGGCCTATCGGGGCCGTGAGGGACGAGCGCGGGGCCGATCGGGGCCGTAAGGGACGAGCGCGGGGCCGACGTGGGCCTCTAAGGGCGAGCGCGGGGCCTATCGGGGCCGTGAGGGACGAGCGCGGGGCCGATCGGGGCCGGAAGGGACGAGCGCGGGGCCAACGCGGGCCTCTAGGGGTAAGCGCGGGGCCGATTCGGGGCCGTTAAGGACGAGCGCGGGGCCGACGCGGGCCTCTAGGGGTAAGCGCGGGGCCTATCGGGGCCTCTAAAAGCGAGCGCGGGGCCGACCGAGGTCTCTAGGTGCGAGAGCGCGGGGCCGACGGGGCCTCTAGGGGCGTGAAAGCCGAGGCGCCCTAGGGCGTAGGTAGGTAGGTAGGTAGGTAGTGGTGGGCCCTAAAAAAATCGGTCCTAGGAAGGACCTGCTCTATACCATGTTGAACAAGAATGAATGAACTAACAGTGAAATGAGTACAAGTATGAAAACCTAGAAATGTGTACCCCCTATAGGCTAACCCACTGTAGCCTAAACAACTACAACAACATATATAATGTTTGACACACTCTCACCGTTGACCTCCTAGAGAAGGCCCTCCTAGCGAAAGAGAAGAGCATAGTCGCTGTAGGAGCCTCTCGTGGTGACCCTCGCACCCCCGTCTTTGAGGGGTGTTCTCCCTCCCTCCTGTTGCCCTTTGTTGCCTCTACTGCTGCGGCCGACCTCGTTGGTTTCGAGTCGGTCGGCGCTGCGTTTGCCCCGAGTGGGAGACGCTGCACCGGCAAGGGCAAGGGGGGCAAGGGCACTGGAGGGGGTGGAGGGGGCGGTGGAGGTGGTGGTGGAGGCGGTGGAGGGAGTGGAGGTGGTGGTGGGAGTGGTGCCGAGGGTGGCGGCGGCGGCGGCAGCAGTGGAGGCGGCGGAGGCGGTAGAGGTGGCGGAGGGAGCGGAGGCGGCGGAGGTAGTGGAGGAGGCGAAGGTGGAGGAGGCGGCGGAGGCGGCGGCGGCGGAGGCAGCGGTGGTGGAGCGAGTCGCGACTCGATGCCGAGGAGTGGCGCCGGTGGTGGTCAGCGCCAGCAGCAGCAGCGGAGTGGTGTGACCCTGTCCCCTCAGCAGCTTCGTGAGTGGTACACTGCACGTTAGCGCGGTGGGGGTTTTGGTCCCTTCTCTTACGTTCTCCGTACAGGCGACCGCACTGGTGAGCAGTGCAGAGGTCCGCACTCCACCCAGCGCTGCTTTGGTCGCTTGACGGACGCGTGGCGTCGCCAGTTCCTTGAGGCGTCAGAGATCCCTCGCTAGGGAGATCTGGCTAAGGCCGGGGTTGCTATCTTCGATCTTGACTTTGATGCTATTCTTGCTGCCATGTATGCTGTTGCTGATAGTGTTGAGGGTGCCTGTTACCTGTGTGTACCGCCTGACCCGGGCATTGAGGCTGCTGCGCTAGGTGCTGGTGAGGCTACTGCTCTAGGTGCTAGTGCGTCTGCTGCCCCAGGTGCAAGTGCGTCTGCTGCCCCAGGTGCCAGTGCGTCTGCTGCCCCGGGTGCTGGTGGGTCTGCTCTCTCATGTACTACGTCGGCTCAGGCCTTCCACACCTTCACCCTGGACTCGGGTGCGTCCCGCTCCTTCTTTCGAGACCGCACCACCCTTACGCTGCTTAGTCGGCCGGTTGCAGTCTCCTTGGCAGACCCCTCTGGTGGTCCTAACCTTGCTAGCTTCTCCACTGTCCTCCCGTGCCCTGCAGCCCACTCTGGAACCCTGTCTGGTCTCTACCTCCCCTCGTTCTCTACGAACTTGGTGAGTGGAGCGGACCTACAGGATCGAGGTGTTGACAAGTTCACTCCTGCGAGTCAGCGAATGACCCACTGCACGTGTGCTCGCACAGGCCGGTACTTGGCCACGTTCACCCGTCGGCCAGGGTCGAGCCTATACACCCTTACTGCTTAGTCTCCTCCTACTACTGAGTCTCCCCAGGTAGCTGCGTCGAGTCACGTGTTTGCTGCGGCGTCCTGGTCTGGTCCTGAGTCTGCCCCCTGCTCGTGTCATCTGCTGTCCCACCAGACTCTCCTTTGGCACCACTGCCTTGGTCACCCCTCCTTGCCTCGTCTCCGAGGCATGGCCTCCCGTGTCCTTG